ACTACATTCCCGGACATATAGACTAATAAGGACAAGTGTAGACTATAATAGAAGGGAAAGCAAGAGCCCTAGGCTAACACTTCTTCTATAGAAAAGTATAAGCAGACCTATTAGATATAAGGGAGATAGAATAAGAGACTCTACTACTAGGCACACTAAGAGACACCTAGGTTAAACCCGAAACTATTAAAAGGATCCTAAAGAAAATTCTAGGAAATAAGGCACTAAGAGAAGACAAGATCTACAACAAACTTCTAAAAGTATATAGGAAGGGGCTAGCCCTAGCACTAGCTAATATCTTTTTATAAAGCCTAGCACTAGGACACTATCTAAGACTATTTAGGAAGTCCCTAACAGTAGTGCTAAGGAAGCCCTAGAAGGAAGACTATATACAGCTCAAGGCCTATAGACTAATAGCCCTACTTAATACAATAGGCAAGGTACTAGAAAAAATTGTCGCTAAAAGGCTAACAACCTTTACCGAGGAAAGGAACATCCTTCTTAAAGGCTAGATAGGAGGAAGAAAGAAGAGGTTAATACTAATAGCTATAGAACTAATTATAGAATAGATTAAGCATATCTAGCACTATAGTTAAAACTAGGTAGCAACCCTCCTCTCCCTTAATATCTTAGGAGCCTTTAATAATATCTCCTATAAAAGGCTCCTATATATACTTAAACAGAAAGCTATACTAAACTAGATAGTCTAATTCATCTAGTCCTTCCTACAGGAAAGATTAATACAGCTTATTCTAGGCAAATTTAAATTAGACCTAATGCTAACCAAAAAGGGAATCCCCTAAGGATCAATACTCTCCCTAATCCTCTTCCTTATCTTTATAGCAGACCTACTCCTACTCCTAGAATCAAAAAACACATTAGTATTAGGGTTTGTAGATAATACGAACATCCTAGCCTAGTCTAAGACAATAGAAACCAACTGTAAGATCCTAGAAGAGAAGCACTAGGAGTATAAAAAATAGGTAAGGAGGCATAGAGCAAAATTCGCCCTAGAAAAGTACTAGCTTATCTACTTTAGTAAGGCTAAATCAACCTATAATATAAAGCAATTAATTACTATCTAAGGCTTTGAAACCTAACTATTAGCAGAGCTTAGGGTACTAGGGATCTAGCTGGATCTAAAACTAAATTAGGGACTATAAGTAAAGAAGGCAAAGTAGAGGGCAGATACTAACATACAATCTATTAATAGGCTTATAGCCTCTATATAGGGGGCTACATTCGAGAAAGCTAAAGTTATATACAAAGCAATTGTTAAGCTAGCAATGCTGTATAGAGCATAGATATAGACAGCCTAAGAGAAAACACTAAAGAGGATTGAATAACTAGTTAGTAGGTCCTAAACCTAAAGCCTAAAGAAAATCCTAGGAGCATATAAAACTATACTAATAAGGGTAGTAGAAATAGAATTAGGGGTCCTACTAGTTAAACAATACTTTAAGGGACTAAGACACTAATATATAGCAAAGATAATAGAATACCTAGCCTAATAGACTATCTAAAAGGTACTAGACAAGATAAAAGCCTAGTGCATTAGGACTAGGAGGCGAGATAGACTATAAATAACTCTCTAGAAAGTTAAAGACCTAGAGCAATATAGAGTCTTAATAAGAGAAATACTAGAGAAAGAGCTTTAGGGACCAAATATAAGGCTAAAGGAAGACAAACTAAAGGGAGAGAAACAAAGCCTAGTAGAATCAATTGCTAGATACCTATAAGAGTAGGAATAGAATAAAACACAAGTTAGACTAGGAACCCTAAAGGCACTAATCAAATTTAGTCAATATAACTACTAGCTCTATAAGGACCTAAATAGGGCCGAGGTAAGCCTAGCTATCTAAATCAGATCTAAATACATTAGATTCAGATCTTACCTATTTAGAAGAAACGTCCTAGGAATTGAAAGTAGGGCTTACTAATATAGCTACTAATCTTAGAACCCTAAGTATATACTGCTAGTCTACCCTTAATAGTTAGAAGGCAGAAGTAATTAGAGACTAAAAGCAATAGAAAGGGAATACGACAAACTAATCTAGAGCAAAGAAGACCTAAAGAGGATAGTAAAGTAGATTATTAAATAGGGATTTGTATAACAATTCGCACTAGCAAGGGAAACTAAGGAGTAGATAAGAAGGAGGGAAGAAGAGGGGGAAAGAAGGGTAGGGCAGTAGGCAAGGTAGTTAGAGGGTAACAACTATAATACTAGTATACCCTAGAGGAAGGAGAATAAGGAAACAAGGAAGATTAACACTTATAAATAGGACAGGAGGGAGGTTTTTACTAACTAAGTTAGTTTCCTACCTAAAACAATACATAGAAACAGACCTACATAGGCCGAAAGGCACTACAATAGGCAAATGAAATATCTATCTATCTATATTATTAGAATTCTTCTCTTCTAAGCTATACTACTACAACTACCGCTATTATAAGGTCCAAATATCTATTATAGAATGCGCTATTAACTATTAATAAAGATGCTAAGCTCCGAAGGGCTATTAAACGCTTCCGCGCCGGCGAATACGATACTAAAGTAGCCTATTGTTAGGACTTCGAAATTCTATATATAACCTTTAACGATCGAGTCCGCGGACTCTACGGTAGTATACTCGAGTTTAGAGATAGTTAGAAGCGGTTAAATTAAATAGAATAAATTAAAGATAGCGGAAGAGAAGATTGCCGTACTTAAGAGTATAGCAAGTAAGGCGGACGTAGTAGACAAGGCGGCTATTAATGCCCTCCTAGTACTCGACTATATAGTAGATCTAACTAACGAGGTTAAGTAGGAGGCGAACGATACCGACGATAAACTAGACGGTAAGGTTCTATTCTTAGTAGAAGATAATAGCGACGTCGAACTCCTCGATCTACGGTAGGCTAATCTACGTTTAAATATAGAATAGTTATCTATATAGGACATATACGATAGGGGCTTCTTTAGGGATAATAAAGCCGCCTAAATCTAGTAGAAAAGCCGTCGACTAATTAGAAGCCGAGAAATACCTATTAACTATTAAAAGTGTACTTAATCGACGTATCTCGGTCGATTAAGTGCCCTTAGAGGTGCGGCCTCGGCTAGAGTCCGGATTTAGGGAAGCTAGCTTTCTAAGACATATATATACTATTATACTATAACTGTAAGAAGGGTATGTTAGTAGGTAGATAGGGTGGTGGTAGGTACGAGTAGTATTCGATAAGGATCTAGGAGGAGAGGGAGGAAGGTAGGAGAGTTGGCCTAACGCTAAGCGCTAAGCCCTGCCTAAGGCACTAAGACCCTGGCTTCACTCGGCCTAATTATATGCCAATCACGTATAGCCTCTTTGGCTCTGACATACGCTTCCCTTCTAAAGGCCGCGCCCTCGTAGCCTGTCTATGTTCTACGACCTCTATTGCCGCTAACTTAGCAAGTCTAATAAGCTGCTTAGCCCGCACTAAATTGAACACTTAACTACCTAATTATATAACTATGTCAAACCTTACCTCTAAACAATATAATGTATAACTCTAACTGCGCTATCTCTATATACAATGAACTATAAAGTGATATATATCTACAAGAATTAAGGGCCTTCGACTAATTACAATACGAGCGCGTCTTCCCTACTATAATAGGTAGACGTACGAGGTATTGCAGCCCTGCCTCCGCTCTAAGTAATATCGTACCGAGTTCTCTGCGTCTACTCTAAAAGACCTAGAAATGTCCGCTCTAAGGGTTTGTCCGTTCCGAGGGTTGTTCTTGTTGTTCGTAGTTTCGCTAGCCCTAATTAGCTAGGTTTAGTAGCCTTTAAGTGTCAATCTTATCTTATCTTTTTAAAAAAAACACAGCTTATCTAGTTTCTATAGGTGAAGGCTATTATAAGTGTAGTAGTAGAGGTTCGTGTTACGGTTACTCGCGATAGATCGTTAGGTGACTTCTTATTACGTGCAAGCCGAGGCTTCTTTGGAGAGGCTAATACAAGCGGGAGGCAGAGACAGAATAATTAGTACAAAGGTAATTCCAATTAGTGAGTAGGTAACATAAGTTGAACGCCTCGAGCTATAAGGGCATTCCGGCGTTCCTAAATACAAAGGAGACATCTTGTCTATAGTCGTAAGCGACGTAAGCGACGCTGTCGCTCTCGACCGCTCCTATCGCTCCTAGTAAGATAGAGCGACAGCTTAGCCTACTAGTCTTGGCGTCGCTCTAAGATCATATAAGGACTCTAACTAATCAGATCCGTAACAGTTCGCCTCGCTTAAAGGGTTAGATAGATCGAGGAGTAACCTATTGTCCGCAAGATCGACCCTAGCTAGCTTAGCTCTATAGTTTTGCCTTTAGTTAGTCTATTAGTCGCTCAATCTTTTGACTTAGTCAAAGTTTTAACTTAGCCTTAAGGTTTTAATTAAACCTTTAACAGGCTCAAAGCTTTAATCAAAGTTTTGATTAAAGGTGCCTTAGGCTCGTAGTATAGGTAAGGTTGTGTCTGTAGGCGTAGCGACAATAGTAAGTAATATTGACAATAGTAGCGCTAGTCGTCTTAGCGCTAACTTTACCTTCTTTAACTAACAATAACTCGGCAACACCGTTACTAATATAGCGGTGTCCTTCCTTTCTTAAATAGTAGTATACTCCGCAACACTATTACTAATATAGCCGCGCCGGCCGCGCTATCGTCATTATTACTATCGCTATTTACGCGCGCGCCGTCCTCGTAGATCGCCTAGGCCTTAAAGCCTCGATAGAATAAAGGAACAAGAGGGGGACCTATAGGGCGCGTTAGTAGAGAGGTGGTTTCCTAGAAGAGCAGCGAATAGTTAACGCGTTATAGCGCGCTTGTTAACACTTAGTGCGCGTTTACCCTAGTAGTGTAGTCTTATTGTCCTTTGTTGCTAACAATTGCTTGCCTCTAATTAGTTAGCTAATAGTACCCCGGGGGTAGCATTGTTCCTAGGCTTAGTAGTAACATTATAGGCATTATAAGCTCTTAGCCTTCTTTGTGTTCTTTACGCTAGTCCAATACTCATTCAACAACTCAGTTATATCTTTAAACGAGTCTTTAGCCTCCTATAAGTCCTATTTAGGTAAATAGCCTTGCTATCTTAATAGGTACTCTTTCTTGCCCTACCTAGTCCGATGCTTTAGGATACGTTCTATAGACTACAGCTCTTCGCTATTAGCTAGTATGTCCTCGGATTCAGTAGGTGCTTTATCGCCTTCGCGCTAGTAGTATAGTTTAAGGAGGGAGATATAGAAGGTGTTATAGATGGTATAATAAGGTGGAAGCTATAACTAGTAGGCCTAGCTATTGCCCTTCGGTTCTCGGATGCGAAATAGGCTAATGTATCTTAGTGCGAGCTTAGGCCTTGTTTTACTATTAGGCGATAGGTGTTTGCGGATACGGAGGTTCTTAGTACTAAGCATAACTATGTCGCCTTGTTTAAAGGTTATTAGTGTGTAACGCTTATCGTAGTAGGCCTTTTAGTATTCTTAAGCCTTTGTTAACTTCTTAGCTATCTTAGCATAGATTTCTCGCATCTTCTAGACACGTTCTATTGCCGCTAGTGTCTCTAGTACTTAACGCGCTTCCCTTTCCTTACGCTCGGCCTCGAGCGAGGTAAATAGATCTTATAGCAACGCGGCGTTTTGACCTATTATAGCTATATATAGTGAAACCTTAGTTGATAAGTGTATACTATTGTTATATACGAATTCTATAGGCTGTAGGAGATTGACCTAATCCTTAGGATTCTCGTTGATATAACTGCGTAGGTACTGCTATAGGGTGGCATTCTGTCTCTCTATTTGACCGTTAGTCTATAGATAGAAGGCTGTTAATAGCCGATGCTTTAGTCTTAGCTATAGGCATATTTCGCTCTAATAGTGCGATGTGAATGTCGAGCCCCTATCGGAGACTATCCCCTTAGGTGTTCCCTAATAGGTATAGAAGATGTTAGTCTACAGCGCCTCTACTATATTAATAGCAGTCCAATCCTTGCGAGCAGGAATATAGCGAGCACCCTTAGTAAATCGGTCTACAATAACTAGTATAGCGTTAAAGACGTCTTTGCTTCCTCTTCGCTTAGTAGGGGGAAGACCTATAATAAAGTCTATTGTAAGCTCTGTAAAAGGCTTCTTTAGAATAGGGAGTAAAGATAACTCGCCAAATAGCAAGTGCTTAGGTGCTTTAACTCGTTAATATACGGCACACGTGTTTACGTAGTCCTTTATATCCCGCTTACTATTTAGCTAGTAGTATATACGCGATAGTAGCTCGTGCGACCTCTCTATACTATAGTAACCGGTAAGCTTACTATTATAGTGTCGCTTAAGAAGTTCTTATCTAATCGATTGTTTAGCGGGGATATAGTATCTGCCCTTAAACCTTAAGTAACCTTTGTCGTCGATCGACTAATTACTCTTACTAGATCGAGTCTTTCGCCTACTTACAAGCTTGTCTATACGTTTAGCAGTAAAGGCGTCCCTCTACTAAGCCCGTAATAGCTTATCTATAAACGATTGACTATCCCTATTTGTAAGGTTATTTAATAGTACCCTCGCTATTAAACGAGGTACGTATTGTATATATCTAATAGCACTAGTAGCCGGATCAACTGTATTAGTGCTTTAATCGCTGTTACTGTATATAGCGATATCGACTAGGGAGTTATTATAACTTCTCCTGTCTGTGTCCTTAGCTCTTGCCCTAACACGTACTGTTAATATAGTAAGAGCATTAATATGCTTTAAGCCGTCGCGGAGTCCGGTAAGCCGCTTATCCTACGCGTGCTTATTAACAATACGGGCTATAGCAATCTTATACTACAGGGTTAGAAACAATAAATTGATGGATTGCTGAGTCCCGCTATCGTAATTAGGTCGCCTCGATAGGCTATTAGCAGGGTTGCTTACGCCTAGCCGATATAATATATTAAAATCAAACCTAGCGAGGTAGACGGCCTATCTAGCCTGTCGACCTATAACTCTAGTAACCTTAGTAATGCTACGGAGGTTGTTATAGTCTGTATAGACCTATATCGTATATTAGGCCCTATCGAGGTAATGCCTCTAGTGCTTAAAGGCCTCGATAATAGCTAAGAGCTCTTGCTCGTAGGTCTCGTAGCGACGCTTAGCATCGATTATCTTCCTCGAGAAGAAGGTAATCGGGTGCTAGTAATAGTTATCATCTGATTGCTAGGATATAATAGCCGATATAGCGAACTGTAAAGCGTTAGTCTCAATTCGGATCTGCTTGTTTAGTACGAAATAGTGTAATAAGGGGACTTTAGTAAAGCGCTGCTTTAGACCGTTAAAAGCGGCTTATGCTCTGTTAGTCTATTTAAACTCTCTAGTCGGGTTGGCCTTAGTTTTAGTAAGCTTAGTTAGGGGCATTACGTGTCGTAAATAGCCCTTAATAAAGCGACGATAGAAGTTAGCAAAACCTAGGAATAATTAAAGCTCCTTAATACTAGTAGGCGTTAGCTACTTAGTGATAGTCTTAATCCGGTCAGGATCAGCCTTAATACCCTTAGTTGATATAAGGAAGCTAAGGAAGGACACCTCCTTAGTAGCAAAGGTGCATTTAGAAGGCTTGCAATATAGTCTATAGGCTCGTAGGCGATCGAGCACCTTACGGACTATAGCCTAGTGCTCCGCAATGTTAGGTAAGTGTATATAAACTAGGATATTATCTAGGTAAACCACACAGAGATGGTTTAATAGGCCCGAAAGGGCCCGATTAATGTAGGACTAGAACGTTGTAGGGGCATTGGCTAAGCCGAATAGTATAACTAAGTACTCGAAATGCCTATAACGAGTGCGAAAGGCTATCTTCCATTCATCGCCCTTGCGGATACAGATGCGGTAATAGGCGTCCTTAATGTCCAATATAGTGTAGTAGTAAGCACTAGAAAGGCGATCGAGGGTCTTATTAATAAGAGGAAGTAGGCAGCGGTCTTTAATAGTAACAGCGTTAAGCCTACGATAATTAACACATAGACGTAGGCTACTATCCTTCTTTAGTACGAATAGGATAGGGGCGCTAGTAGGGCTGTTACTATACCGAATGCGACCGTTAGCTAGGTTTTCCTCTAGGTACTTACGCAATATAGCAAGCTCTCGTTCACTAAGGTTGTAGAGGGGGCTAAAAGGGACCTCCTTACCCTCTATAATATTAATCTTATAATCCGTCTCTTTGAATATAGGCAATGTCGATACCAAGTAGTATTTAAACACATTAATGTAGGTTTCTCGAATAGGCTCCGGTATACGAGCAAGCTAATTAGGGTCTATGCTATTAGGGGGCATAGGCTTATCGTTATCGCCTAATAGGTCGACTGTTAGGTTAGCTGCGGCAGGTATTAGGTTGCCGATAAATAGGACCCTAATATCGTTAGGGCACTCGCTAACATCGATGTATTTAATGTCCTCTTTCCTAGCGATTCTAAATCGCTACTATTAACTGCCTAAGTCTATAACTATAGCATAGTACTTAAGAACAGGGTTACTAATAACAATCTTAGATAGGAGGCTGTCTATATCTACCGCGTAGGCAGTAAAGTTTAGTAGGCGCTTATTGCCGAGGTCGTCCTTTAGGGCTATATAGACATAGTAGGCCCTATAGGTTAAGTGCCGAGCGTTATTAAACTAAGCAAGGGTTAGCAGGTCAGTCCTAGGCAGTTGTCGAAGGTCTAATTGCTTAGCTAGGCGATAGCTAATAAGGGCGCTAACTGAATTTCCTAGATCTAGTATAACCTTAGTCTTATAGTTAGTGTCGGGCCCGGATATAAGACAGGTACGAGTAATAGCTAGCATAATGTCGATAGTCTTACGCCGTACGAGGCTAACAGTTAGTGCGGCGCTTACTCTTTTTTCGAAGGTTAGCCTATAGGGATAGCGTTAGCTGCTAAGAGGTGCTTTCGGTGCTTAGCGGTAGCACGGTCGATTCGGGCCTAGTCCTTAGGTTTGTCGCATTAGCCTAGTAGATAGCTAGTACTATTACAATTGAAGTACTTCAACCCGGTTAGTAGACTGCCGTAGCTGTTATTGCTGCTATTATTAGTCGAGCGGTTAGCATTATAGGGATACGAGCCCCTTCTACGGCCCCTATTACGGCCTCCTCTATATAGCCGTCGGCTACGGCTTCTCCTACGGTCGTTACTACTATTCCTATTGTTAGCACTATTATTCTAGTAGGAACCTTAGTTTCCTCCGCGGCTACGATAGGTAGCTAGGCGTATCTTAGATTCCAACCGTTATTAGAGCTATACTACACGCTCTATAGTCTCGACTTTAACTATAAATTGAATGCGTATAAGATTGGTCTGTTTAAATACACGGCGGCGGTCTAATTCAAGGACCAATTCCTATCGCAATTTAGGGCGTATTTCGGAAATCTAGATAGAGTCGGTCTTAGCTAGCAAATCGTCCTCGAGGGTCTTTAAATAGGCCTTAAATAAGCGAGCCGATTGATTAGTCTTTTGTTTAGCTCGAAGGTATTAGTCCTAAGCGTATTGTTGCCTTAGTATAGGGTTTCTAAGGGTGTCTAGCATAATAGTCTTATAGTCTTGCTACTAAACAGCGGTCTAGTCGTAAAGGGAATCAAAATGGTTATCCTATATACGCTTTAGGTCGCTATTAATGTACTACATAGCGTATACGACTAAGGAATAGTCGTCTAGTAGCGCTCTTAGTGCGTTGCGCTAGTTAAGCTTACAGTTACGGATATAGTCGTTATACTACTTTCGGCTAGAGCTATTAAATACGGTGTAGTCCTTAAGTTTAGTATCCTTCTTTTAGACTAGAACTGATAGCGAGGAAGGCCCTACTATCGGCTTAGTGTTAGTTGTTAGGGCCTCCTAAAGGCGGCGAATCTCGAGGAGATTATCCTTTAGCTATTGTTCTTAACGTAGGGTAGTAAGCCTGTTTTAGGTAGCTTCTTAAAGTCTCGCTACTAGCTAGGGCCTAAAGGCTAGTTAGCTATATCGACGGTTAACAATATTGTTAAGAATGTCGTCGATAGGCAATTCTAGGTCGTTACCTAGAATTACAGGTTCTTCTTTAATAGGCTCTCCGGTAGGCCCTTTAGTAGGAGGCACTTTAGTAGGCACTTTAGCGGGAACTGTGCTACTAGCGTTGTTATTACTAGCGCTGCTAGCGGCAGTACGGTTGTTGTTGCTTCGTAATAAGCCCGCTATTGTAAGGGGTAACACTAATAATGTATTATAGGCCCCTAAGATACGGATATAGCGGAATTAGTAGATATCGGCTTAGTACGATTGACTCGGTATAATAGGCCGTATAGAAGGCCTTGCTTAATAATTAGTACGGTTGTTTCGATAGAATAGTACGTATAGGTCCCGTTCTTCGGGCGCAATATAGTTAGATTAGTTATTATAGCTACACCGCTAAAAGCTTGAAATAAGGACTATCTAGCTGCTGCCCTTAAAGGGTAGATCGAATACTATATAAGAAGGGTATATTAGCAGGTAGATAGGGTAGTAGTAGGTACGAGTAGTATTCGATAAGGATCTAGGAGGAGAGAGAGGAAGGTAGGAGAGTTGGCCTAACGCCAAGCGCCAAGCCCTGCCTAAGGCACTAAGACCCTAGCTTTACTCGGCCTAATTATATACTAATTACGTATAGCCTCTTTAGCTCTAATAACAACTGTCCTTTAATACTTTATCTTTATATCTTATACGCTTGTTATATGTATTAATACCTTTTATTTGCGCTATTTGGTATATCTATATATAGTATAGATAGTGTATAATTAGTGTCGAGGGCTAGTAGTTAGCCTAATTCTAGCCTCTTATCGAAGCTCGGAGATTTAGCGGACATTGCCGACCCTCGCTAGACCCTAACTTAGCGGCACTTAGCTATTCGACTAGGCTTCAAACCACCTACTTCTACATTAGTATATTCTGCTATAATACATTGCCTACAATTTTAGAATTATAGAACTCGACGCTACGATTATTTTAGTGCAAAAATTAGTACAATTGCGTCGCTATAGAGCGTACAGTAATTCGTAGAAGTATCGATATAGAACGCTGAGATGCTTACAAATCCACGCTAACGAACGGCCGGAATCACGAAAGCCTCCTTATATACGTTATAAGCGTCCATCGAAAACGCGGTTTAAACCTAAGGCCTAGGCTTTTAGTGGATTGGTCGTCTATCCTCGTCCCTATACGCCTTATTCGCTATCCATCGATTGATCAACCGTTTTACTTACGGTACTTCAAACCCCGATGGCTTTACCAAAAGGAAGCCGGTGGACGAATCTTCTACCTACTGAATCCACCGATCCACCAACCTGATTCTGCACGGTCGACTTGGCTTGTCTCGGTGATATCTGTAGGCATGTTGCCGCATTATTCCAACCAATGTGGCTCCTTCAAACCCCACGAGCATGTGAATTAGGATCATGCTATGCATTGGCTTCTCAATTAGAGTTCCAGCGTAAAGCAACGCTGAAACTTTGCGAATTGCCTCCGTCCCCACGGTCGTGGAGTACATAAAGCAGAATGGGGCCTTGCGACCTCCATATTCAAAGCAGAATTGCAGAACTGACCAACTATTATCATAGTCATGTACGGCAGACTGGAATGAAAGCAAGACTCGTCTTCAAAGCAAAGAAGCGGGCAGCACAGCACGGACCGATCGGCTGCGAGGATCAAGCCCAAAATACAACCATGCTTCGACCAGCTCCGACCCTGCAGCACCCAGACCTCACCCCGGACATACTTCACCACTCTTCGATACTACCAGTGACTACCATGAACGGGATCCTCGGGATCTGGCCAAAGCGCAAGGCAATTGTTATTGCTACCCATCAACCGGCAACCGCATTTGGCACAAACTTCACCTGGGTCGGCCTCCGACAACAGATTGAAAACGCGGCGTGATCTCTCAGGCCGAAGCCCGCTTTCTTTCCTCTGTCGCGCCCTCCTTTCTGATGGTGGCCGTTGGAACGCCACCCGCCGTTGCCGTCAATCTTCTCAAGTCGTATCCCAAAAACATGTCGATGGACGACAAAGTTGCTATGGTGGGCAGCAAGGAGGACAGTCTCGACCGAAGTCTCTCGTCGCATGCTGCCCACGATGAGCACAAGGGGCTGGATGACAGCGAGCTGCCAGATTATCAGGATCCCGAGGTGAAGAGGATCATGCGAAAGGTGGATTTCCGACTCCCTCCTGTTCTGGCCATTCTGTACCTCTTTTCGTTCTTGGATCGAAGCAACAGTAAGCCTTGGTGCGCAATGTTCTGGTGGGAAATAAGATGCTGACGCGCCTGGACAGTCGGAAACGCCAAGATTGCTGGAATGACCAAGACTTTGAAGATGAGTGGGCATGACTACAACATCGCACTGACCGTGTTCTTCTTCCCATATGCTTGCTTCATGATTCCGTCGAATATGGTCCTCAAGAAGGTCCGACCTGCGACGTGGATGGCATTCCTCATGACGGGCTGGGGCGTTGCGATGATGTGTCACGGCTGGGTCCAAACCAAAGGACAATTGATTGCATGTCGCTGTATCATGGGACTCTTCGAATCCGGCTTCTTCCCAGCTGCGGCATACCTCTGCACTCTCTGGTACTGTCGCTTTGAATACCAACAGCGCGTGGCGTACTTCTATTCATCCGCCACACTTGCCGGCGCTTTCTCTGGAATCCTCGCGTACGGTCTCGAGAAACTCGAAGGAAAAGCCGGATATGAAGGTTGGCGATGGATGTGAGTGAAAGACGCAACAGTCTACGCCGCATTACTGATTCATTCCGCAGCTTTATCGTTGAGGGCATCGCTACAATCATCATCGGCATCATCACATACTGGATCCTACCCAACTCACCGCAGGGCTGTTCTTTCCTGACCGAACGCGAGAAGTCTATCATCGCTCGACGACTTGCTGAGGATTCCGGTACCAAGGACGGCAAGGTGATCAACAACGGCGACCGCTTCAGCTGGCCTGTCCTTCGAGATGTTCTGCTGGACAAGAGGCTGTGGCTAGGAGGTGTCATGGTCTGTGCTCAGTCGATCCCATTCTATGCCTTCACGTTCTTCGCGCCAACCATCATCAAAGAGCTCGGTTTCAAGACGTGGAAAGCTCAACTCATGACCGTTCCAGTGTACATGGTCGCTTGTATCGGTACGCTGGTCATCGCCTACTTTGCCGACAAGCAGCATCGACGCTGGCCATTTGTCGCTTTCCCATACATCTTGTCAGCGTGTGCCTTCATCGCAATGTTGGCGATCCCGCATCCTCGGTACCCAGGACTTACATACGGATTCCTATTCTGCATCCCTCTCGGCCGTAAGTATCACAAGTCGCGATCGATTCGCATCCAGCGGCTAACAGTTCCAGTGTCTTCCGGCCTCAACGCCTTGATCGCATGGGTCGGCAACAACCTCGCTCCTTCATGGCGCCGTGCAATCGGAATGGCATTCATAACAACATTAGCCAATTTCGGCGGAGCCATCGGCGCCAACATCTACCTCGCCGAGCAAGCTCCCAGATATCCCCTGGGCTTCGGCTTCTCTCTTGGTGTCCTCGTTGCCGGCATCACGTCTGCGTTTGCCTCGCGATGGATCCTTCGCAGGAAGAACCGAGAGCGCGACCAGCTTGATCCAGCTACTGTCAAGAGCCAGTATAGTGAGCAGCAATTGTTGGATTTGGGTGATAAGAGTCCGCTGTATAGATATGTGATTTGAGCCATGTGGAGTATGTCTTGGCGATGTGGCCTATTTCACAGCATGTATAAAAGAATTTGAGGGTAATTTACGATGGAGTGCAAATGCGAGTTTCCATCCCGTTAACGTTCTGGAATTGGAATCAGGTCTCAACACGGAGCGGCCGTAGCTCGAGCGGAAAGCGTACGTTACGTTCTTGTGAATAAACTCCAGCTCAGGCGGATGGTGTAAGACACTAGAACAGATAACCGAACGCTTTTCACGAGTAACTCTAGCTGGCCCCCTGAATCATTTTCCATTCGTAGCTATCAAGTTACATGCATTCCCATGAACAAGCCGATCTCGGAGTCAAGTATCCTCGTCCGTCGGCATCCATATAACGTATGCAAGGAGGCTTTCGTGATGCCACCCACCTCGTTAGCGCGGTGGGAAGGGCCGCCGCTAGCTGTTTCCAGTAGATACCAATCGATTAGTAGTTAGTTTAGCATTGATTAGAAAGCGGCAACTTCCGCGAATCTCGACAGCCAACATTCCCTTAGTCGCATGCGACATACTACACTATATTATTAGAATTCTTCTCTTCTAAGCTACACTACTATAACTACCGCTATTATAAGGTCTAAATATCTATCATAGAATACGCTGTTAACTATTAACAAAGATGCTAAGCTCCGAAGGGCTATTAAACGCTTCCGCGCCGGCGAATACGATACTAAAGTAGCCTATTGTTAGGACTTCGAAATTCTATATATAACTTTCAACGATCGAGTCCGCGGACTCTACGGTAGTATGCTCGAGTTTAGAGATAGTTAGAAGCGGTTGAATAGCATATAATAAGCTATATTAAAAGAGATAATTATAAGAATAATTGGAATAGGGTTTCTACCTAAATATAAGACTATTCGTAGATAGGCGGAGCAGATACTAGCTATAGACCCGGATTATAATCCTCTTACAACACCTCCTATTAGCGTCTACTAGCCGGCTCGATTTATCGACTAAGATAAGGACCTCCGCCTTAGGTAGACTACTATAATAGACTATTACCGCCGCAATGTTACTAATAATCTAGAGGTCTTAGTTGAATACTATAAGAAGCTAGCTAATACAATTAAGGAATACGATATAGTACTAGAAGATATTAGCAATTTTAATGAAGCCGGATACCTTACTAGTTGTTACGAGCGCAATTTCTAGGTTATAATCCTCGCTCGAGAGGCTAAGAACACCTTTATACGATAACCTAGCGGTCGTAAATAGATAACAACTATTAAAGCTATTCGAGCCGATAGTTATTATATCCCTCCGTTCTTTGTATTCAAAGCGAGGCAGGTCACCGAAGCCTTATTGCGCCAATTCTAACGCTAATTCCACTATATAGGCGCTAGCTTTGCTATTACTAACAATAGCTAGTCTAATACTAAGATAGCTAGTCAATAGATATAGCATTATAATATCCGTTGCCCTCCGAGCAAACTAGACAAATGGCGGTTACTAATAATAGACGGTTACGACAGCTATAAGTTATTTAACTTCCTACAGTATGCCTTAGCTAATCGTATACTGTGCCTATGCCTTCTAAGCCATTTAACCGCTTACTGCTAGCCGCTAGATTATAGTGTATTTGGACCTTGCAAACTGGCCTATTCGAGTGCACTAATGTAACGCTATACTGACCTTAGTCTAGCAAGCGTTACTAAGACCGACTTCCTAGAAATCTACTCTAACCTCTACCTAGAAGTCTTTACACCTAATATTATAATAAAGGCCTTCGAGGGCATAGGTATAACACTAGTCGACGTAGAGCGAGTAATTAGCAAGCTTCTACGGTCCTTTCGACCTATAACACCTCTACTACTACGGCAACAAGCATAGCAAGAAGTCGTATAGTCGTTACTAATTAATACACTACTAGCAGCAAGGATACTAGTTAAAGGTCTAATGCTAATACTAGGAGTACGACTATTATAGGAACTCCGACAGCAACTAGCAGCACCGCTACTACTACTTGTTATACCGGCAAAGCGCCTCCTATTTAGTAGCAATCCTTCTACACTAATAAGCTATAAGCGATTAAAGACAACGGCTAAGAAGGTAAAATTCTGGAGCTTACAATCTACCGATAACCTCGGTTATACTTACCTTCCTTATACCTGTAGTTTAGAACTAGCTGTCTGTAATAGACGAGTAGTTAACAAGTTCAAAAAGACTGTTAAGGCAGCTTAGGTACTCCTTAACTAGTATTACATAGTTATCCGAGAGAATAAAGGACTCCGGTATGCCCTTAGATAGAAGACTCGCAATAAGGAGCTTAACAAGGTAATTAGTAAAGCTAAGGTCTATACAATGGAGGTTGTAGACTCAATGTTAGCGGAGGCAACATAGAAGGCTAAATACGAGAAGCTCCGGACTTTAGTAAAGGAAGACCTTATAGCGCTTTAATAGGTAAAGAAGCGGAGGTTAGCCCTCGCAATATAGTAGAACAAGACCGCTCGCAAGGAGCGTATTTAGCTCTATTTTAACCTTACTCAGTTACGGAAGGAGTATAAGGCCGCTTATAAGACCGAAAGCTAGCATATACGCAACATTAGGTATCTAATTACTAGCGAGCGCTCACCTGCAAACGCGGCTTCTATATACGTTAGTAAAGCCCTCGAATATATACAGCAACTCGAGGCTCGAGTCGAGGCCTTTAAACATGCCGAGAAGGTTACTAAGCATATACGAGACCTATAGTACACTAAATAGAATAAATTGAAGATAGCGGAAGAGAAGATTGCCGTACTTAAGAGCATAGCAAGTAAGGCGGACGTAGTAGACAAGGCGGCTATTAATGCCCTCCTAGCACTCGACTATATAGTAGACCTAACTAACGAGGTTAAGTAGGAGGCGAACGATGCCGACGATAAACTAGACGGTAAGGTTCTATTCTTAGTAGAAGATGATAGCGACGTCGAACTCCTCGATCTACGGTAGGCTAATCTACGTTTAAATATAGAATGGTTGTCTATATAGGACATGTACGATAGGGGCTTCTTTAGGGATAATAAAGCCGCCTAAATCTAGCAGAAAAACCGTCGACTAATTAGAAGCCGAGAAACACCTATTAACTGTTGAAAGTGTGCTTAATCGACGTATCTCGGTCGATTAAGTACCCTCGGAGGTACGGCCTCGGCTAGAGTCCGGATTTAGGGAAGCTAGCTTTCTAAGACATATATATACTATTATACTACAACTGTCCTTTAATACTTTATCTTTATATCTTATACGCTTGTTGTATATATTAAGACCTTTCATTTGCGCTATTTAGTATGTCTATATATAGTATAGATAGTGTGTAATTAGTGTCGAGGGCTAGTAGTTAGCCTAATTCTAGCCTCTTATCGAAGCTCGGAGGTTTAGCGGACATTGCCGACCCTCGCTAGACCCTAACTTAGCGGCACTTAGCTATTCGACTAGGCTTCAAACTACCTACTTCTATATTAGTATATTCTACTATAATATATTGCCTACAATTTTAGAATTATAGAACTCGACGCTGCGATTATTTTAGTGCAAAAATTAGTACAATTGCATCGCTATAGAGCGTATAGTAATTCGTAGAAGTATCGATGTAGAACGCTGAGATGCTTATAAATCCACGCTAACGAACGGCCGGAATCACGAAAGCCTCCTTGTATACGTTACTCTCTAGGTACGTACTACTTTTTCCTTCTTAACTAAAATTAGTATTAACTAAACATATTAGCAAGAAAGGCATCAAGCGTAAATTTATAGTTATGCTGACACTCACTAATACCTACCGTACATCTTTTGATCTATTTATAGTGTGATTGGGAGTAAACTCCTTAGGAAAGGAGTAAGCAAACCGGCGAAAGTCCACATATTGCCTCTTACACTCTCACAGCATGCTGCTTTGGAACATCCTTGCCTGGAATATAAAGTTGCTTTACTACCTGAGGAGAAATTACGATCGTCGAGGAAAGTGACCGAAATACTAATACTGATTCAGGGACCGTGGTTCTTGGTGTTCTTTCCCTCGAGCGCCAGGTTTCGTTTTGGGAAGCAATGATCAAGTCTCATACCGGAAGGCATAGCCCTTTTGAAGCCTTTACAACTGCTCACTCCAACTCCTCGAGCTGTAAAGGCCGTTAGCAATGCCAGTAAATGATATGTGTGACAAGCTTTGCTACCGCAAGTATATCAAGAGATGCCGATCAAGCCTATCGCTCTCGTCCGGCCACAAATCAACCGTATCTTCGGCGATTTGATAAAGCATCATCCTATCTTCCAGCCTCTACTCGAATGTGTCGAAGCTAGTGTTATCCTCTGGTATATCCGATTGATCTAGTTAAATTTCAGCAATGTTATTCGTCTCAATCAGGCCCCGTGCTCATAATCTGCAGTTTTCACAAGCAAGCTTCTGTTCGGGGGTTTGTCTCTCTTTATGAATGGAATGCGGACGCTATATTAGGAGTTGAAAGTCGTGAGGAAAATGTCTTCGATTCAGAAGAAAGATCCAATGGAGGTTTGTGTGAGCGTATCCGGCCTCACTGACCAGCAGATTGTACGGAATCGCTGAGTGCACAAGGCCAGGTCAGCTTGAAATCCGTGGGTATGATAGAAAGAGGCTGAAACTAAACTTAGGTGGAGAATAGGGAGTCTTTGCCAGCTCCTCTCGTCATGTTTTGCTTCTGCAAGGTCTTTGATTGTAGGTCTCGCTGTATTCGAGTTCGCGTGCAGAGAACTGACGTCTTGGACGAAGGAGAAGGTGTGTTAAACAATTCACGTAAACAAATGATCGAATAATCCGTTGTTCGCTTCAATGCCGCTGTTGATTGCTCGATGGCATGAGAATAACATGAGGGATGACGGATAACAGCACGCAGTCGAGACTCCACAATGCGTTGGCCGCCAGCATCCACCAAATTTCTACGTACCTGCTACGTTCAACGAGTCATTCTTCCAAATTTGCCAGCTCAGTCTCCACCGTGAACACATTAGTATGTACTTCTCTCCTCTCCTCCGTCTGGATGCGTGAGCTCTTCACGCAGATCCGAGTTTCGGTACACGCTGCTTTGCGGCTTCAACGCTAGCTGCACGCCAAGCCCATACTTCACCTTTCTACAACGGCCAGCCATTGTTATTTCACTTCCCATATTGTAGACAAGCGAGGTGAGCTTGACGGTAGGTCTGTACGGATTTTCAACTTCTCAGCATCATGTATCCGTTCGACAGCATCATCAACATCATCACGCAAGGAGAAATTCGAAGATGGATGACAACGAACCACAAGCATACCACCTCCCTGTCCCATCCTCTGGCACGCTGGCCGTGCTAAGACATTACCACTTGGACGTCGTCGACGCCGCAATCTCCGCCTTTGAGCAGCTCAGCTCAGCGAACGAGGGCAAAGCAGCCAAGTTGAAAGACTGGCTCGCTCGTTTTGCCTCGCTCGTTGAGAGGGACAAGCACCGCACCGTGAGAGAAACCTTCTTGACCACCTACCTCCTTCGACACTTTACTAACTCACCGTGCGTCCAGATTCCCAGCGACGATACCACACTTTGCCTGAAAAATGGCATAAAACTCCTCAGCGAAACTTTCTTCCTCGCCGCGATAGCTGACGTTCCGATCACCTGGAACAACGACATCGACGCTCGAGGCGAGACCAGCTACTACGGCAACGAGATCGAAGTCGAGATCAGATTCCTACGACAGCAGGCCGAGAAGCCTCTGCACATCCGTCTCGTGGAAACTCTGGTGCACGAGTGCGTGCATGTGCTTCTCGGAAAATTCACATGCAATGCCAGATTCTGTGAAGAGGATGATTGCATCGCATCTAAACGCTTCGAAGTTGGGGTATATGGCTCTGAGCATGGACTCGCGTTCCAGAAACTCGTGAAGAAGATTGAGGGGGAGAGTGAGAGGTTTTTGGGGGTAAGATTGGACTTGCATAGGGAGTTTGCTGCGCGGGGAGAGGATGTGTTTCTCACACCATCGATGATTGGAAGGTTTTTCGACGGCGTTGATCCGCGGACAGGTGCTCGAGTCGAAGCTCCGCCCTCGACAAGTAGATTGTGAATGGGAAGCAATGAGCGAGTGAAGTACCGCATACCTGACTCAACCTCCCGAAATCTCCTTCTTTTCTTCTTCTTCTCAATTGTACTTTCTCTGCCCTCGAATCGAAAGGCGGTGATTCAAGTGACAGATGTGACATAGAAGCAATGAGCTATTACTTCTCCTACATTGAAGCGTCTCCAGCTCCACAACATCAACAACCTCCACGACAATTCGGTAAAATCCACAGAAGCGAACACTAGGTAGGCAGCGGCATGGAAGTAATCCCACGGTAATGCATGCGGCTACTCTCCCTTCTCCCTCTAAAAGTGGTCTCTCTACATATAGGCTCAAATCCAGCGGAAAGCATTCAAGAACAACCTACGGAGGCAATATAGGTAAGGACTCTCTTTATCTCAATCTCACTGCACATCCATCACATTTCTATAACAACAAGACCTTCCAAGGCAATCCACTGGTTGACGTTTCTTAGGCACTTTTCAAACTTTACAAGACTGATTCAGCCAGAGCATGACTCGGAGCACCCTCGTCGCGAGTGCATGCCAGGGAAGGTCCTCTTCTTGCACAACGAGCATTCGATCATGACACTTTGACGCAGTGCCTGTTGTTGGCAAAGTAATACCCAGCCGCGCTTCAAACACCAGGTCATGACTACGGCAGTCGAGAACGAGATCGTGGTGAGTAGAACGAATGGAAGTGCACGTCTTTGAAATACTGTGATGCCGGTGCTGACGTCTTTTTAAAAAATATGGTCGATTGGATGTACAGCTTTTGTTTCGCGTCTCTATGAAGCAACTCCTTCCACCCCACCGACGCGATTGTATGTCTCTGCCCTTCCAGATTGTTCCTATCCGGCTTGACGAATCTTGGTGGTGGCTTGCTTCAGAAGAACATCGTTGCTCGTCCTGCATCCAGCTGCTTCGACTCTCACGCGATGCGTCCAAAATATCCTCCGATCCAACGGCGCAGTCACGCAGTTTGCTTGAGGGGACAGATCACTGCATCACTACAAGTCAGCAGAGTCAACGAGAGTGATGCAGATGGAGGACGTTGGGGAAAGGCTGGTATCAGCAGTATAGTGTTGTACTCAGGGTCCGTCGTGGACTCGTCCAGAGGGTAAGTTTCAAGATGATCATCATCGCAGCAGTGAAGAATTCATGGAGCTTTGGAGACACTTACTCGGTCTTCGTGGAGTTGTGAACAGAGGTGACGAGGGTGATATGCTGGAGACAGTTGACAACCTGGCCTCAGTTCTGATTAGCATTACACTGGCGATGAGGCAAATGATAGAATGCAGAGGTAATCGAATTCGCTCAGATGTTCTTCTCATATGTTTCGTTCATTAGGGAAGGGAAGGGAAGGGAAGGGAAGT